AAATGTTTAGTCGGCTAAGACACTTGTTTTTTAGATAACTTTGGAGACAATAGTTTCTCTTAAAAATCTATCAACTAAACAAGTCCTTAACATTTGTTCTTGGTTAGGTCTAGCTAGCATCCCAATTTATTTTCAAGGGAAAGCAACACTATGCTTGATTGCAAAGTTCAAGTCACTCATTATTAACTACACATTACTCCAATAAAGTAACATAAGTAATTAATTAAAATGATGTACGTCGTGGCTTGGAACAAATTGTCTCAATTTCTTTCTTATCAGTTCTATAAATCAGAGTTGGTATTATGGTATGGGGCTGAGGCTCATTATGCCTTTTATTATATAATTTAAAATAAAAAATATGAAATTGTAGAAACTGCATTAAAAAGAGAGAAGTAACCCTAAAATCTTCACTTCATTGGTTTAAATAATTTCCTTGGCTTTATATTTTTTTGAGTTATATTATTTGTAATTTAAATTGTATTAGATTATAAAATATGAGTTATTAGATGTGAATATTTTTTAATATTAAAATCTCACTTTTCATTCAATAATAAATATTGTACTATCTAGATTATACTATATTACACAATATCTTTAAAAAAAAAACAATATCTTTAAAAAAAAAAAAAAACCCCTCTTTTTCCTGGTCAAGTTTTCTCCTTTTCTTTTCCAATTCATTAGTTTCAACTTGACATTTTCTAGAAAAAATCTATGGTCAATACTACTTAAAGGACTTCGGATCAATATGGTGTGAGGTTGTCAAGTTGGATTTGTGCAACTGTACATGCTTATCTATTCCACGTGTCTTAGAGTCAATGTGGATGCCCCATGCTTGCTTCCCCGTCCAAACATACTGAAACTTGAAAAGAAAAATGGAAAAAAAGAATCTTTTTCATCTAACCCACCATAGCCCGTAGCCATATACTCCACAATTTAGGTCCCACATGTTTCCAAATATGGCAGTCCAGAACCCCAGCCAGATAGAACCTTCCCATGAATTTCAACAACCCAATTTCCTATCAGTATTTCCCAACAATTTGACCACACTAACTCCTCATCACTGTGTCCCTTGTTTAAAGAAGGGATTTGTCTAACCTCTATCCTAAATGTATAAGTTAAATTTTATTAATTATAGTATTAATAATTGATTTTATATAAATTTTTATATCAAATTTATATATTCTTATAAGTTTTGAGTAAAAATATTATATTTTATTTTAATTAAATATGATATAAAAATTTATACAGAATTAATTATAAATATTACATTTAATGAAGCTTAAGCTACAAGTTAAAAAATTCCTTAAAACATACTATTATTCATTTTATATCACTTGTTTGATATTTTCACATAATTTTAAGTAATTATTTTTTATTATATATTCAAATTATAATTGAAAATTTTTATTAATAAACTATTTAAAAA